CCTGTAAGGACCACAAGTACACACCTCCAAAACCTACGTTTATACACATCCCTGTAAGGAAATGCGCTGAAATCTTAACAAGGCTCACTCTCTCTAGATGGTGGGATTCTGGATAAGTGTTCTTTCCCTTTTTGACTTCTCTGTGTTTTCTGTTTAAACACACATTAATAGTCACACAGAGTAATGTTTTTGATGTTTACTGCTAGGGCCACCACATATGGTTGTATAGGTTGTACACTGTACAAGGACACTAGTAGGGGAGTCAAAATCCAACCCATGTTCCTTTCCAAAAGGGGCACCTTTGCAGGCTGGGGCGGCTTTGTCAGTAAGCACCTGCATGCGCCCATGCGGATGAGAATCCATCTTGCCTCCCAGGTTATGAGCCCCTGGCCCCGCTGCCCCCAGCTGCTGCCTCTGTGCCCGTGTGGCAGGACCGCACCATTGCCTCCTCCCGGCTGCGGCTCCTCGAGTACTCAGCCTTCATGGAGGTGCAGCGAGACCCTGACACGGTAACATGTTTGGGGGTGAGGGTGAGGCTTTGCACAATTGTGGAGAGGCCAGCCGGGTGATCCACGACTGAAACTTGAGGTCCTGGGTTGGGTGTGTGGCCTGTTCAGGAAGCTCCAGGCAATTCTGTGCCTGTGCAGTGCCCCCTTCCCCGCCTTCGGGTCTGCATGTCTGAGTGCTCTCCTGACCCTGTCTGGGCCCTCCCCACAGTACAGCAAACACCTGTTTGTGCACATCGGCCAGACAAACCCCGCCTTCTCAGACCCACCCCTGGAGGCAGTAGATGTGCGCCAGATCTATGACAAGTTCCCCGAGAAAAAGGGGGGACTGAAGGAGCTCTATGAGAAAGGGCCCCCTAATGCCTTCTTCCTCGTCAAGTTCTGGGTGAGTCCCCCGGCCCTCTCTGCTCCCAGCCCCCTTCCCTACCCCAGAGGTGCAACATCCAGGCCCACTGCATTGACCTCTGGCCCTGCTCCATCTCCTCATGGTTTATGGGCAGAGTGCCAGAGATGGGTCCTTGGGGAGGACTCTGATGTGGTGTGGCGGGAATCCTGGTCTCTGCCAGCACCTAACACCCTCACCCCCATGCCCAGGCTGACCTCAACAGCACCATCCAGGAGGGCCCAGGAGCCTTCTATGGGGTCAGCTCTCAGTACAGCTCTGCTGATAGCATGACCATCAGCGTCTCCACCAAGGTGTGCTCCTTTGGCAAACAGGTGGTAGAGAAGGTGGAGGTGAGTGGGGGCTCAGGGTGGCTTGGTGGGGCTGGGAGCAGGCCGGCTGAGTGACAACTTCTCCACGCTCTCTGCAGACTGAGTACGCTAGGCTGGAGAACGGGCGCTTTGTGTACCGTATCCACCGCTCGCCCATGTGCGAGTATATGATCAACTTCATCCACAAGCTGAAGCACCTGCCCGAGAAGTACATGATGAACAGCGTGCTGGAGAACTTCACCATCCTGCAGGTATAGGGGACAGCAGGGGTCATGGTGAGTCCCACAGGCCAGGGTCCCCAAAGTTGGGTAGCCAGACACATCACTCGGATGAGAGGCACAGATCCGGAAAGGAGAGGGGTCTGTTCGGCTCCCTGCCCCATGGCCCTGTTCCCCCTGACCTCCTGAATCTCTTACCTGCTCGTCCCCCAGGTGGTCACGAGCCGGGACTCCCAGGAGACCCTGCTTGTCATTGCTTTTGTCTTCGAAGTCTCCACCAGCGAGCACGGGGCCCAGCACCATGTCTACAAGCTCGTCAAAGACTAGGGTGCCCTCTGCGCCTCCGTAAGGATGCAGGGTGAGCATCTCCTCTCCACACCTGCCTGGCACCCCTGGGGGGGTCCAGGATTGAGGACTCATCTACCTGCCAGGCCTCAGGCCCAGGACCCAGGAGGCCTCCCCACCTACCCCAGCACACACTCCCTGCCACTGTTCTGCGCTTTAATTGAGGAGAGGAGGGCTCAGCAGTGGGGCAGCCTGCCCGCAGCGCTGATCCACCATCACTCCGCTCTGCCCAGCCTTGTGTGACCTCAGAGAGGTGGAGAGGGGGAACACCTTCAGCCTCTGGCACGTGTGGCCACTGCTCCACCGTGGGGGAGTGTCATGGGCAGGTGAGGGCAGGATGGAGACCGAGGGAGTCAGCAAGCGGAGGCCCTGGAAAAGGAGAGTGTCAGGTCGGGGTTGGGCTCTGAGGGCAGAGGGGCCCACACTTCTTTGCCCCTTCCGTGTGCCAGGCTTGGTGCCCAGACTCCTTGCCTGGCTTGTGCGGTGCTAGACTCTGCACAGCAAGTGTGGGTCTCCAGGTTTCAGATGAAGTGCCGAGGCTCCAGGAAGTTGAGTGACCCACAGGAGAGGTGGGCAGAGCTGGAGTTCTCATCCAGGGCTGCCTGTCCCCAGAGCCCAGGTTTACACTACCTCCCTGGGGCAAGGGCTGGCCACAGGGTTGGGGAGAGGCTCTGCAGTGTGAAGAGTGGAGCCTCCTCAAACTCCTCGAAGACAGCTGGGTTAGGGGAGCACCTGTTTCTACAGCAGTAGACCCTTATTAGGCACCCCATCAGCCCACAAGCCAACCAGCGGGGCTCCAGGAAGATGGGGCAACCCCCAGCACCCTCCAGATTGAGGGCAAGGTAGAGGAAGGAGTCCCAGCCTCTGGGCAGACCAGAAGCCTGGAGGGAAAGCTAGCAGAAGGCTTTTGGTTTTTCTCTTGCCCAAGGCTGGGATCTGACAAACCCTTGATGGGCACTGCTCCCTTAGGTTCTTCTCCACCTCAGTCTACCTGCCCGGAGCAGCAGCTCCCAGACCCAGTGCTGGGACTGAAGGTTAACCCTTCCCCTGCTGCCCCTTCTCAACACCCAGGCCCCCAGAGCCAGCCGGGCCTGACCAGCAGCCACCTGTGGGTATTTATGAGTTTCATATGAAGTACTGTGCCCCTTCCCTTCCTCATCCTGACCCTGCCCGAGCTTCCTGAAGGTCCTCACCGTTTGCATATTGCTCAGGCCACCTCCAAACCCCACCTAGGTTTTATAATGTATATTATATATATTTTTGTGTATTTTTAAAATCCAGCTGTGATGGGTTGTATCATAAATGCGGCTTGGGGTTGGGGCAGGGACCATCAAGGCCCAGCTCCTGCTCAAAGAAAAAAAAAAAAAAATTAAAGTTATATGTTTGTGGGTCAGTCATACAATCACTTGTGTGCCAGACCTTTGGATTTGAACAGCTTCAGGTGAGAGCTCCTCCCAGGTCCTAGTGTGTCATCAACCCCAACCCCTGCAAAGCCATCTCTTGGGGGGCCCCAAGCCCTACCCACACTCAGCATTTCCCTCACTCCCTCCTGCTTCGAGCTGAGCACTTGTACCTGAGGCCCCTAAGGGAAGTGATTTGCTCAGGTTCGTACATTGACTGAGATGGAGCTCCAGGCCTCAGCTAAGCCAGCACAACACAGATCAAGGCCTGGAGGTTATTCATTGACCCTGTGACTGAAGGAGGGTAAGCACTCTCCCCAGGTGACAGCTGCTGACCTACCCATGTCTGTCTGGAAAGGCCTGCTGTCCTGAGCCACCCGTCCGCAGTTGGGACCAGTCATTACAGGGCTGAGGCAGAGATACTTCAAGACTTTCAGTGGACATTTGCCCAAAGAGTCTGTTCCAGCCTTTTCTCCTACAGTTAAATATGGGTGAGCTGATTGGACTCACTCCGTCAAAGGATGAGACTATTTGCTCTCAGGGTGGCAGGCTAGAATAAGAGTTAAACAGAATGGGGGTCACCCAGTTAAATTTTAATTTCAGATAAACGGATGATTTAAGCATGTTCCATACATTACTAAGGACATCCTGCATTTTTTTTTTTTTTTTTTTTTTTTTTGAGACGGAGTTTCGCTCTTGTTACCCAGGCTGGAGTGCAATGGCACGATCTCGGCTCACCGCAACCTCCGCCTCCCGGGTTCAGGCAATTCTCCTGCCTCAGCCTCCTGAGTAGCTGGGATTACAGGCACGCGCCACCATGCCCAGTTAATTTTTTGTAGTTTTAGTGGAGACGGGGTTTCACCACGTTGACCAGGATGGTCTCGATCTCTTGACCTCGTGATCCACCCGCCTCGGCCTCCCTAAGTGCTGGGATTACAGGCGTGAGCCACCGCGCCCGGCCCATCATGCATTTTTATTTGCTAAATCTGGCAATCCTCTAGAATCATCCTAACAGATGGGGAAAACTTGAGACATGTTAAATATACTCCTCAGGATTCCAATGTGCGCCTGGTATCCCACTAGGGATCCCCAAACTTTCACCTGCTGGATGGGTGGGTGCCCAGAGCCCCAGTAGGTAGGAGGGGCCCAGGAGGCAGAAATTCATGTTAGATCTACTGGACACTGATTACATCTATGGGCAATTAGCACACAAGAGCCTTCAGATAATTGCTTTTGCTTTATTTACTTAAACCTAAAGTTTCCCTTTTCCTTCCAATTGCAAAGATCACAGGAGGTTTGGAAAATACATAAAAGCCCAAAGAAAAATAACCTAGACAAGAGGAAGTAGCTGGCTGGACCTGTCTTGAGAACCAAAATTCACTGCTCATCATCCTCATTAGGTTTTATACCTGCCTTACCAAGAAACTGCTGTAACTTAAAAGCTAAAAAAGTTGGCCAGGTGTGGCAGCTCACACCTGTAATCCCAGCACTTTAGGAGGCCGAGGCAGGCAGATCATCTGACATCAGGAGTGCAAGACCAGCCTGACCAACATGAAGAAACCTGTCTCTACTAAAAATACAAAGAAAAAACTAAAAGCACAACTTGCTGAGTGAAAACCATGTTCACAGTTCAGGGACAGGTAAAGCTGTTTTAAGAAATGCAGCATTCATTCCTCGCTCCTCACCAACAGTCTTGCTGTCACCCAGGCAGGAGTGCAGCATCTTCGCTCACTGCAACCTCTACTCCCGGGTTCAAACAGTTCTGCCTCAGCCTACTAGCTGGGATTACAGGCATGAGCCACTGCACCAAGCCAAAATGCACTGTTTTTAAGTATCACTTTTATGCTTTAAAATAACCCTTCTCAGCTGGACTCGGTGGCTTATGCCTGTAATATCAGCACTTTGGGAGGCTGAGGCAGGTGGATCACGATGTCAGGAGTTCAAGACCAGCCTGGCCATCGTGGTGAAACTTATCTCTACTAAATATAGATACATATATTTTTTTTTTGAGACGGAGTTTCGCTCTTGTTACCCAGGCTGGAGTGCAATGGCGCGATCTCGGCTCACCGCAACCTCCGCCTCTTGGGTTCAGGCAATTCTCCTGCCTCGGCCTCCTGAGTCGCTGAGATTACAGGCACACGCCACCATGCCCAGCTGAATTTTTGTATTTTTAGTAGAGACGGGGTTTCACCATGTTGACCAGGATGGTCTTGATCTCTTGACCTCGTGATCCACCCGCCTCGGCCTCCCAAAGTGCTGGGATTACAGGCTTGAGCCACCGCGTCCGGCCCCTAAATATAGATATATTTTTTCAAATTGGCTGGGCATGGTGGCATGTCTCTGTAATCCCAGCTACTTACTCAGGAGGCTGAGGCAGGAGAATCCAAAAGGCAGAGGCTGCAGTGAGCAGAGACCACACCACTGCATTCCAGCCTGGGCAACAAGAGTGAAACTTCTCAAAAAATAAAATAACCTTCTATTAAAAAACAGGGATGAACTGGGTCCCCTATTTCCCAGTCAAACGAAGTTGATTTAAGTCAGAGGTTAAAAAGCAGGTATTTCCCACCACACCAAAAGCCACCTTTCCACTACTAGGTGCTGGAGGCAAGAACTGTAACAGGGAAATGCCTCAGAAAGGGAGGGGGGCTAAGCACACCTGGGGCAAGAACCTGGAAGTTTCCATGGCCTGACTCTACCTAATGCTGGTTCCCCTAGAATTAACAGGACCCTGGCTGAGCATAGTGGCTCATGCCTGTAGTCCCAGCACTTTGGGAGGCAGGCAGATCACAAGGTCAGGAGTTCAAGACCAGCCTGGCCAAGATGGTGAAAACCTGTCTCTACTAAAAAAAAAAAAAAAAAAAAAAATTAGCTGGGCATAGTGGATGGTAAATGTAATCCCAGCTACTCAGGAGGCTGAGGCAGGGGAATTGCTTGAACTTAGGAGGCACAGATTGCCGTGAGCCAAGATTGTGCCACTGCACTCCAGCCTGGGTTGGACTGCACTCTATCTCAAAAAAAAAAAATTACAATTTTGTACTGTTGCTGTTCCTTGTTTTCCTTAACATTTACTCATTACCCAAAGCACAGTATACTCGACATGGCGCCTGTTAACACAGAAATGCTGACTAAAATCCTCTTAAGTTTACACAGACCAATCCTGTCAAAGCTTCAGTCCTGTTTAGCAAGCCTCCCAAGACTGCCTAATTTTGATGGCATAAAAACATCCTCTTCCCTGTAGTACCCAACTATCCATCATCAAGGTCACAAACTACAACAGCTAGCCATCAGCAGTGCCAAGGCACTCACTTGTCAATTGACAAACCACCACCCACTCTCAATCACAGACAGACAGAGGGGACTGGTAATAGAATTTATTCAAATGTGCCTTAATATAGGCGCTGGGGCTTGCCCATGGTGCTCTTGATATATAAGGCCCGGACATTCTGCCAGTTTTTCTTGAGCAATGACACCAAGAAATTGACAGCCAGGTGAATGTTATACACAAGCTCATCGTCTGTCATCTTCACGTGACCAACAGCCACAGCCAGACATAACACCTGAGAGGAGAGAGAGGATCAAGTCAGGTTGGTGGAAGGATGGCAAATGGCCCATCCCTCCTCCCACAGTGACCTAGTGAGCAGATACTAGGACCCAGGCCAAGGAAGACTAGGGTGAAGTTTCAATCCTGGTGGGACTCCTACTGGCACATTTAGAGACTTGGGTAAGATCTGGACCCTGCCAGCACCTTCACCCATAGCAACCCACCAGACCCCCTCACCTTCTTCATTTGGAACTTGATCGTGGACTTCACCTCATCCACTTTGGCCACCATGTTTTCATTGTGTGTGAGCAGGGAGGGGAACTTTCCCGCCTTATTTAGGCCTGGGCCGAGGATTCGTGGAATCTGCTTGATCAGAGACTCTGAGGCCAAAAATGCATCATACTTCTTGGCTGGTAGAGAGAGGAACCCATTGGCATTGCTTAGGACACCTGGTCACCAAGACACACCTCAAATGTGGCAGGCCAGAAGTACACCTGAATCAACCATGTAAGTGACCTCTGAAGCAGCACCCTCTGACTCCACCTCAGTCTTTTCCCCAGCCCAAGTGGTTTCCTGAAAGTTCTGGAAAGTCACTGGACCCAAAACATGGTGTCAGAAGATCAGGATGACCCACAATCCATGACATAACCACTGTACAACAGATGCTCCAGTCAACACTGCCTGGGCTCGAATTCTGCCTTCCTATTTCTTAACTGTAGACCCTGGACATTTGACAACTGGGAACGTCTGCTTCCTACCTTTAAAAGCAGTCTAAATGCCGCTGCCTAAACAACGCAGCATAAAGATTCCCAAAGCATAGCTCACCAGCACCTGACTGGTCAACTTACAATGTCTGGCCTCCCTCCTTATCAACCTGAATCCTCATAGCAAATACAAACATCAAACCACCACAAAGCTAAAACGGCAGTCAGGCCAACTAAGCAACCACTGCCAATCCTTTGCGCTGTTCTAGCCCCCTCATCATTTAAAAATCGAAATGGCAGAAAAGCCGTCCTTCCACCATTCCCATGACCGTCTGCTCCCAACCCACATCTCACATGCAAAACCGCAGCGGCCGGACTCACCCAGCTTCTTGACCAGTTTTTTATTCTTGTTGAGTTTTTTCAGCGCCTCGATGTCCATGTGGGGGATATCCACGGCCTTGGCCTCGTCACAGTGCTGCTGGTCCCCCAGGACACACACGGAGAACTTGGGGCGAGGAGTGGACTTAAGCCTGGGTTTGGGAGAACCAACAGGTTATGCCTAGCCCTGAGTCCCGAGGTCTGGTGAAGGGTCTGGGACCGCAGCAGGCACCAAGCCTTACCCAGAGCGTCCGCATTCACCAGCAGCCAGCCTGGCTTCTCAGGCTGGCCGGCGGGCTCGGCCGAGGCCTCCCCACGCCTCCCCTCATGTTTTAAGACCCAGGGTGGGGGTCCGTCCAGCCACGCCTGCCTGGAGCAG